AACTGCGTCACTAACTAAAAATTGCATTTCCACATGCAAAAGTTTCACATCACAGCGGGAAATACACAGAGTTCGCTCTCTAAAAAAAAAAAAAAAAACGAGAAGCTACAACGCCAAAAAATATGCATGCATATAAACTTTCAATTTCACTTCGAATTGCATGCGCTTTGTCACAAAAAGTTGTGAATTTTGATTTGATAGTGCTTTATGCGAGCGAAAAGTTGAGAGAGAATGGATTTTTTTCTATACAAACATATACGTGTTGGTATGTGACATACAATCATTCAAAATATTCAAGGGAATCATTCAGTTATTCAGAACAGTATTTTCACTGACTGCAAGTATATAACTTAATTTTTACTTTCACAGGGAACTTTTTTGTATTTGGCATTGACCAACTGCGCTATTTCATTGAAAAATTTTCTGTCAACCTTGACTGTGATTTGCTTATCCACACGTTCTCTTGCGAAGGCAAAATCTGTATTCAATTTGATAATAATGATAATTACTTTAATTCATTACAAATGATTTGTGGTGATATTGGGTAGCTGAAAGACATTTGGACTTGGATGTCAAAGGAACACAAACGGCCAGCCGCAGGAACTGTAGATCTGATATGTTAAGTAAGCATTTTTCCGTGGGCTTTCCATCAACATCAAGTTTAAGCTTCCAGGCTTCTGCAGAGCTTTCCAGGTAGGAGTGACTGCTGCTATATCACCTGACAGGGACCAGATGCGAGTGCCACTAACCATCCCATCTGTGCTTGCCTCTTGGCTATATGGGCCTCATGTCAGCTCATCGAACACTGGTAAAAAAGTAGGACTGCGATATTACAGGGTCCCTCTCGCATCGTGGGCGGGGGTGGTCAAAGAAATTCTTTTTGGTGGGGATTCTGACTGAGACTAAAAATCACATCTAATCCTTACTGCCGCAGCTGCCTGAAAAATTATGAGCTGAAACGAGCCTAACACTTTTTATTGCGTATATATAAAAAATTTAATAGATTTAACACAAAAGTTTAAAACAACTCAATTTAAAATCTGCAAAATACCAAAATTAAGCATTTTTTGGGTTTTTGAGAAAACATAGACGTGTAAAAAGGACACAAACTTTTATAACTTTTTTCTCTTATTTATTTAATTTTTCATATATCTAACTAAATTAATTTACTTACGCAAAGCTTGATATTTGTTTTGTGCGCGAGAAGAATTTCCAATTATGTAATTAATAATTATTAAATAGGAATTGAAGCTGGAAACGCTGAAAAGAAAAGAAAATATGTTTATTCTTATTTGAATCTGTCATAATTGATTTAATAAATGGTTAAAAATAATGAACGAATTAAATAACCTCAATTAAATCTTGCGACACTTCAGTTTTCAATTCAAAACTAAATATTTTTGTTTGTTTATTGCTATAACTCAGTACTAGTAAATCGTTTCTGTCTTTTTTCATTAGCTGTCAAGCTCGCCGCAACAACTATATACTGTCATCTAAGCATTAGCGGTTGGTTAGCCAACATCGTTTGCTATGTCATTGAGTTTAAACTGCCGTTTCCTCTAGTCGCTCATAATAAAAATATATGTAGGTATCTATAAATATCGGTATGCACGCCTAATCGCATAACCATCCTCTTTTAACATTCACTCCACTTCACTTCACAAGCCATGTAAGCAATTTCATTATCTCAACTTAATCTGTTTCTAATCTGTGTGTCGGACACGGTCGTGAATTTCATAATTTGATTTCTTTCTGCTCTTTGCGCCACACTTTGCAAATAAAGCTCGGAACACTTTGACGACTGCAACTTCACGACGTAACGACAGCGACATCATTTTGTCGACAAATGTCGCCTCGAAGCCAGCTTCTTAAACATTTTGAAGACCTCAGCGACATAGCAAATAGCTGATTTTAAAGTTTTACATTTTGGTATATTTATTTCACAAATTGTGTATTTTTATTTAAGTAAATAAGAACAACATGAACAATCAAGAATATGTGATTAATTTTGCGACAATTTAATTTTGCAGCACTACATCTACTCATTGTCGCCGGCAAAATTAGAAATAGATTTAATTTGGCGACGTCGACAATTGCAGTCCTGCAGCCAAGATGTCGTGCTGTCGTCAAAATAATTGTGTCCGTAAGAACGTGTGTATTTAAAATTTGACAGATGCTGCTGTCGCTTGCTGTCGTCAAAGTGTTCCGAGCTTGTGTTTTGTTGTTGCCATTCTTGCCCTAAAAATTTGGTTTTTTGCGTTCCTTTACTTTTCCTGTTATTCCTTTTAGTGAGCGCATTTTGCTTACGCTCTGGCATTTTGACACTTTTCAGATTTAAGCTTAGTATCCAGCTCTTAAGAAAAGCAAAAACTCCATATAAAATGACGTACAAGAAATGGCTAAGAACTTTTCTTGAGTCAAATTTCCTTAAGGCAGTACGCAGTTCTTCAGAAATTTAGTACGCTTTCTACAACGGTTTTCTAAAGTTTTTTGTGAAAAAAGAGCACCAGGTTTGCAACAGAAATATATGCCCGTTCCATTATTTCTTGAGGAAAGAGTGAGGCAACAGGCTGTGAGGTATAAAAAATGTCAAAATTCCTTGGACACACACGCGAAATAATGGCAATTTTTTCTTGACCGTTTTCTTAAGAGCTGGATACTAAGCTTTAAGTCCAAAAAGATAAGGAATGAACCTAATGTTTTCGGCTTATCATAAAAGCTGCATGAATCAAAGCGCCCAACATTGTAAGAGGCTTGCCGTTTTGAAATCGACATTTGTGTACTTTTTTGTGTTGGAAATAAAAATTATTTGTGACTTCAATAGGAAGTAATTTAAAAAGAATCATTTCGTGCTAAAATTCGCGTAAACAATAAGCGTTCATGCAATACTTTGCTGCAGAAATATTTTCAGAAGTGTGCAGTTGAGAAAGAACCGCCAGAAAATGTGTTATGTGTAGAATATATTTTTTAACTGGTGACATGTGCAGGGCGCGCAAGTGTGCAGAAGTCGAGTCGTAATCAGCGTAATTTGGTAATTTATTTTTCAATTTGGTAATTTTTTCAATTCGGGTTTACATGTCAAATAGGTCAATATTGGTTTTGATTCCACATTAGGAAGTGGACCGTAAGCGTTTCCTTTTATAGAAATACCAGGTAATCCTTGGCTACTAGAATGGTGTGTTCTTTAACAAACTGCTTGAAAGTGGCTATTGCCGAATTTCTACTAGGCATTGAAATGACAAAAAATTTAAGCGATTTAAAAAAATGCCATTTGGAAATGAACTTAATTACTGTCTATGTGTGAGTCGAGAGCTTTCCTTCAAGCGTTGAATTTTCGATATATTTACTTGTCACTTGTGGTCGAAAAAATCATAGCCACACCATATTTTGACAAGTTTTAACATATTATTTTTCTTAGTAATTTAACTTCATTTTTTTTTTTTATAAAAATATTGTTCTTTCTTTAACAGAGATCTAACAAATTCAAACTTTGTTCAATATTTAAAAAAATTCAACAAACTTTCGTAAAAATTTAAGGTTAATGGAGCGCGATTGCCTGAAAAGCTTGGTATCTTCGGATATACATATGTACAGACACATCGAGCCCTAACTGCCAAAATAACGTAAGCGAAATTTTCTTTTTGATGCTCTAGGAACATTTCCGCATCAAAAAGAAAATTTAAAAAAAAAATGTCGGTTGCGTTATTTGTACAGCTCTGCACATAAAATAAGTTTGGTAATTTTTTGTTGAATTTGGTAACTTTTTCCGAGGATTTTGGTAAAAAATAAAAACATTTTGTGGCAACGAGGAGTTTGCTAAAAAATAAAAAAGATTTTGTGGCAACACTGGTCGTAATGCACTCGATTCGGCACGAAGAAACGATTACATGTTGCCAGAAGATCCTATCGGTCAGTGGTTGATTTGTATCGAAACATGTCTCTGATTGAAGAATAAAAAACAAAATAGGAATTAAAAAAATATGTGTGTACCAGCGTTGCCGTTTTGGTCCAATTGGACCCAAAATTGGTAGGCTCATTATCCTTTGGTAGTTTGGTTGGTAGGATGAAGCTTTTGGTAGGCAAAAGTGAAATTGCAACCAAATTGAGCAATAAAATTTGTTTGCTAAAGATTGCATACTGCCAGTGCTATCTACTATTTATAGTAACTCTAAAAATATCTATGAATGGTAACCCTGTATTCATAGCAAGCAAAGGAAATAATGACAAGAGAAAGAGTGAACGAAAGATGTTAAATGCCAAAAACTTGGCATTTGCGCGCCTTTCTTCAATTGAATTTAACAAACAAGCGAAAAGATTAGTGATGGACAAGTAAGTTAATTTTGCTTTAAATTAGTTACTTTTTAATCGTTGTTTATTTGCAGGTATATCTATAAAGCCTCTAAACCGTCCGAAGTAAGTGTGGACAATAATAACGACGACTTGTTCAGGTAAAAAATTGCGACTAAGTAGGCATGTACATATGTGTCAATTAACAAATACTGAAAATTCTCGTGGTGATGAAAACTCGCCTGCGCCCAAAAACCAAACTAAGAAATAAACTAAAACTAAAGAACTAGTACAAAAGGCTGATGCACATTACGTGTGGTCAGCAAAAAGAGATCTCAAAGATGTATGATTTTTTACAAACATTTTGTATACAATTAGGGGATATAAAAACTTTTTTGTTTTTGATATAATATAGGATATAAAAACTTTTTGTTTTTAAACGAATAAAATGCTTGAAATTGTATTGTCGAAGAAAAAAAAAACCTTTGAACTGAATTGAATCGATCTCAAAGATATATGTATATGGGCAAATCTAAAAAACAGGTAACCTTGGTGTTGTTTAGCTTTATTTTCACTGTTGGAAACTATATCAAGCTGGTTGCTTTTAGATATAGTTCATTGACGTATACTTGAAGCCTCAAAAAAATTTGGATCAATTTGCTGCATAACTTTTGAATTATAGGTGTTTAAATAAAAAATAATAATGAAAACAAGTGAATTTTTTGTGTAATTTCTAAGAGGTGAAAAATTAATTATGTCATAACTTTTGAAGCACACCATATACCGAATTGAAATTAGTACTTATGTGTACACTTCATATGTAGTAGGTAAGAAAAGTGTGCATTAAAAAGTAACGAAGTGGCAAGTAACTCAAAGTCTGTTATTCCACATTTCACAATTTTCAAACATTTCGGTTTATCGCGTATAGTTTTTGAAGCATTGAAGTTTAAGAACTTTTTAAGTATGTATTGTATACTACAAACAATTACAAATAATTTGATACCTTAGCAAGAGCTGTGCTTTCAGAATAAACCAACTTTTAAAGATAAAATATTCTGCGATCTTGAGCGTAATTTTTATTCCAAAAACACTTTAATTAAAGGCACATTTGGAAAATACGTCGAAACGATCTAAATCTTTCTATAACTGATAGTCCTTATAAAATTACATATACCTGTAAAATGCTTCAAAAAATTTGTCTCTAGAAGTGTGTAAAAACCCTGATTTACTACTTTTAATGATGCTCCTTCTTTTAGTCAGAATATTTCGAGAGTGATATCAAAGCAACTTTTTTTCGACAAATGCTTTGATAGTTGCTCTTACTTAATTGGAGCCTTCTGAATTCAATTGCGTCCTAAGTTTTACCCTATTGGCTCCACTTTACGAGATGGCGGTACTTGAAACTTTGCTAGAATTTTAACTATTTTATAAAAAAAGTCCGTAGGTTTTGAAGATATTTTACTAAAATTTTGCACATAACCGTTTTTCAATATTACCTTAACTATTCCATAAAATCATCGAAATCGGTTCACTAAAACATATAGCTCCCATACAACTGATAGATCAGAGACGTTTTTTTGCGTTATAACTCCTTCAATTAAACAGATTAAAATTTAGTATAGGTTCAATTTATCAAATAGCACGCATACAATTTATTACTCAGATATGAAGTTAGAGTTATTGCGCAAAAACACATATCTGAGTAATCAGTTGTATTGGAGCTATATGTTAATGTTAACCTATTTCGATATTTTTAAGGAATAATTAAGGTAATGTTAAAAAACTGTTATGTGCAAAATTTTAGTAAAATAACTTCAAAACTGAGGGAGGTATTTATAAAATAGTTAAAATTTAATCAAATTTTCAAGTACCGTTATCTCGAAAATCGGAGCCAATCTGGTAAAACAGGGCATGCCATTGAATTTAGAACATCCCAAATAAGTGAGTTAAACTTTCAAAATCTTTCCTCAAAGTTTACAACTTGAACAGCGTAATTTCAACCCAGCTTATTCTTTTGTTTTCTATTTAATGCTTATTCCTCGTCTAACTTTTGAAGCCCTTGATGAAAATGAATAACACTTATATTAATCGATTTATTAAGAGATTACGAATAAAACGATATATAAAACATAGGTGTGCTCACAAATTTAAAAATAAAATTTTTTTTTTAAAGTGTACCTGTTTCTTAGTTTTGCCCATATACTCGGTACGTTTTTTTACAAACGTTTTGGGTACAATATTTTTGATACTTACGTTGTTCACACTTGCTCGGTTATCAGGTTATCTGGTTAAAAATTATTATTCTGTAGTGTATTTTATTGTTGTAAACTGAATAAAAAATATAACCACATAACCAGATAACCTGATAACCAAGCAAGTGTGAACAACCTAACTTGTATTTAAACGCATAAAATGTCTGAATTTGTTGTTTTATACATCAAAATGTCTGATATGAATTGAATTAATATCAAAACTATATACAATGCTTATAACTGTTTTTTATACGATACGTTAATTAATTTATTTAAACGCCCGAATTTATTTTGTGCAAACTTCAAGTATTGCATGAATGGATAACCGACTGTAGCACAGTAAACCATATTATTTGGTATTTAATAAAATCTCGTTTTATTGATTAAAAATTTTTTGGTAGTTTGCAAACTGATTTGGTAGGCTTTTTGGTACCTTTAAATATTTCCAAGTGGCAACGCTGGTGTGTACATTAGACTGTCCCAAAAAAAAATTTTTTAACGCATTTGTTGGTTTTGTCTTAAAAACTATCCAAATCAAATTTTATGCAATTCAGACAACGGCAACCCGTGCCGACTTGCTGCCAAAGTTATCAGAATAATCTTTGTGCAGAATACTCGCGTGTTTTGTTAACTTAGTATTTTTACTTCTATATAAGGCGGTATTATTATACTCTATACAGTATTAGGGCATAATACTAAGTAAATCTGCGTTTTTAGTTTTTTTTACCGGGTAGTCAGGATTTTTTCCAAGGGACCGTAAATTATAATAGGACAATTCAGCTTAACGCGTAAAAGCCTCATATCCATGTAAACCTCGTAAAATTGTTTAATTTTGTACGGAAACCCGGTTTATTTACAAGGTTTACACAGTTACGAGGCAGTTACGCGTTAATATGAATACCCTGAATATGTTTCCAAAAGTTTACACAAAATATAGTAATATGGGTATCAAATAAAAGAAAAATTCAAAACAAGATTAATTATTACTTTTGTTTTTAAGTTATCCTTTTGGAGCATGTAAAAAATATCCTTTAAAAATATTATTCTTCAAGACTTTTAATTTTGAATTCATTCCGAAGAATCTTTGTAGATAAGGATATTGAAGGGTAAAAGTTTCAAAGAATATTTTAGTTTAATTAATTTTTTCGATATCCTTGAGAGAAATCCTGCCGTCCTATTAAAAATTAAAAGATGCAGATTTACTAGAAATGCGCTAAAATATGAGCAACATATCGCATTTTTCACATTTCCAAAGTTTTCAAGCACGATTATTATTAGTTTTTAACTAAAACTTCAACTAAAAATCGGCACGTGTTACTGTTATCCTACGGCCATAAAACTTCATATATAAGGCTCTTTAGGCTAAAAAGCACAAATGTAGAGGGTATGCATATCAAAATATGCAAACAATTTTTTTCCATATATTCTTGGGACAACCTAATGTACATACATATACATACATATGTACTAGTTCCAAGCTAAAAGACGCGTGCGTGTCAGCGAGAGAGCGTGCAAAGAGAGAAATAGGTAGGTATTGGCCACGTCGGGAGACTACACACAACGTTCTTGGTACTCGTATACATATGCGTGGCAAACCTTCTTGCCTACGAAGTGACAAGCACAATGCAATTTGCTATAGCACCACGCCGCGCCGTAGGGCTAGCTGTGTGCTATCCCATGTTGGCGGTGTTCGTTTTGTTTAGTGCGTATTTAAGCGACATGTGCTGGCCGGCGCACTCAGTTGCTGTCAGATTTCTAAGAGAAGCGGTTGCGTGTGGAGCACCTTCGATACAGGGTTTCTAAATTTTCACTTATTGCAAACTCGCAAAATCCTTATTGGGTTTCCAATTTTTAAAAATTACATAACTTATTTCATTTAGTGTCTATAAAGCTTGTTTTGGTGCTATTGAAATTCTACAAGAATTGCAGCAGAACATAATTCGCGAGGCTTGTGCTAAGAATTTGAGAAGGAGTGGAAGTTAACTAAGTGAAAAGTGTATATTTGACATCGTACATATTTATGTATTCTTCTAAAATTACAATTAAAATTAAAACCACTAGGAAATAACAGAATATCAAACAAAAATAATATTCTGCTATTGTGGAAAAGGAGCTATTCAAATGTAAGTAAAATATGTATACATATATGTGCATACATATATGTGCATACATATACATATATGCACTTTATTATGTAAATCGGAGGCAAATGAGTCGCGTTAACAAAAATGACAAATCACATTATAGCATCTTTATTCACTATTGTGACGTTCTCCTCCTTTCTTTGTGCGCGATAAAAATAATTTAATTTTCTTTTAACAAAATAAGAAATGAAACTTTTTAACAATAGCCTTGAGTTCGATGCGGCCAACAAACTGTGGCCGCGATTCAGTGATGATAAAGTTGCCACAATTGCGCTTTTTTGGTACAATTTGAAGCCAGAAAGCACGTTGACACCACATAGACGTTTTTGGTAAAATTTGGAATGCAGCGCTGTGTATATTTCGATTGGTTTTATATCTGTGGTCATAAGCAATAACCGCCTAAGTCGAAAAACCTGGATTCGAGAACGTTTTAAACATTTGGATTGTAATGTTAGCCTTAGGGGAAATAAAAATATTTTGGAATAGTAGTTGCAGAATACGATAGCATATATAACTCAATTCTTGCTCTAGTCGACTTAGGCGGTTAGTGCTTATGACCACAGATATTTACGTTGGTTAAAAATTTCTACTTATTTGTACAAATATTTTCTTCTTTCCACTTCACACATACTTGGACTAAATTTTTTTACATTACAAGGTTTGCAAATCTGATTTCTTATAGAAATGGTTTTACCTTTTTCTACCTTACATATTTTCTACCGGAGCTCGAGAACTTAACATAATTTAAATATATGCGAGTTTTATGAACAAATTAAATTAATTAAAAACGAACTGAACGAGCAGATGTTTGCAAAAATCT